TTACATAGAATTTCCGGAGGAAGGGGACAAGGATGAAGAAACAGGCTTTAGATCGAAACTTGGAGATGTCCTTAAATCATGTGACAACAAGTTTTAATATCAGTCAGCAATAATAGGATTTTCATCTAGTTAAAAACCGTTCGAACTAAGATTTTATCATTTTATGAAAATAGGACTTCTATTTTTATTCTATTTCTATGTTTCAAAAAAGACAATAGCAAATAATCAATATTTATATTTTCTAACTCTTACACAGTCTCATTTCTTTTTAATCAATAGTATGACAATTTGCATTAAATGGATAGAAATATTAAATGAAACCATAACCTTAGGTATGCATGTATATAGTATTTGTTTTAAAATATGGTCATTAATTCTGCCATAGGATCAACGAAATGCTGAACAAATTTGTTGTAAACCTTGCAACCATTTTTTTGTTAGAAGTCTGCATTGACTTGAAGTATTAAACTATGTTTAAACATATACAATTCATTTGGAGCTGGTAGTGAATAATGACATCAGAAATTAAGTATTAAACCATGGAAAAGATGGATATCATGTTCTTTTTAAGGTCACCTGAGTCACTTAGGTGACCTTTTGCTATCTGTTTTCGTCCGTCGTCGTGCGTCGTGCGACGTCCGTCGTGCGTCGTGTGTTAACATTTTAACATTTTCAGCTTCTTCTCTGAAACCACTGAACCAATTTCAACCAAATTTAATAGACAGCATCTTTGGCTGAAGGGGAACAAAAATTGTGAATTTTATGGTCCCCGCCCCCCTGGGGCCTGAGGGGTGGGGCCAAAACCACCAAAATTATTGCAATCTTTAAAAATCTTCTTCTTTACTCCTGGACATCAAGCAGTCAAACTGTTGGCATGCATGTAATGAGCATTGAGTCCTCTACCAAAATTGTGAAATTCATGGCCCTAGGGTCAGGGGTTCTTGTGTTAGGGCGGGGCTCTTTTCATCATATAGTAAAAATGCATTAATTCTTTGAAAATCTTCTTCTCTGCTTCTGGGTATTGAATAAACTAATTAAGTACTTAGTTATGATGAGAAAGAGTGCCTCTTCCAAAATTGTGAATGTTATGCCCCCAGGGTCAGGGGTTCTGGTGTTAGGGCGGGGTTCTAATGATCATATAGTGAAAATGCAATTATTCTTTGACAATCTTCTTATCTACTCCTGGGTATTAAATAAACTAACTAAGCACATAGTTATGATGAGCAAGAGTGCCACTTTCAAAATTGTGAATTTTATGGCCCCAGGGTCAAGTTTTCTGGCATTAGGGCGGGGCTCTATTTATTATATAGTGAAAATGCATTAATTCTTTGAAAACTATTTCTTTGCTCCTGGGTTTTATGCCAATGATCCAAGTATATATTTATTTATGATGGAGAAAGGTGCACCTAGCAAAATGGTTATTTTTTATGCCCCCTGTGCCGGGGGGGGGGGGGGGTGTTACATAGTCTGAAAATAAATTAATGCTTTGAAATCTGCTTTTTAGTATTAATCAACCATTTTATGATAAAATTCGCAAAATTTTGAAATATGTGGCTCCAGGGTTAGTGGTTCCTTTGGGATGAGGTCCACAACTGGTTATAGAGTGGAGGTGCATTTTCTCTTTGTTACTCTGATCTACCTCCGGGTATTAAGTAAATAGAGTAATTGTGAATTTTATGGCCTCTGGGGTAAAACACGAACCAATTTTAATTATTTGAAAGTTGTTACATGATATTCAGCTGACCTATGAGGCCCGTTTTTTGTTTTTGTTTTTTTTTTTGGCTGTTTTGTATTTTTTGTTTGTTTTGTATTTTTTTGCCAAACATAAAGATATGATATTAATTAATATGAAATGAAACACAAACAACAGGTTCTGTGACGTCTTTTATTTCGAGTTCAATGTAAAATGTCGACTAACCATATAAATTATATTTTTAATTGATACAATGTCGTTGATTTTTAATAATTTTGTAATACAAGAGAAAATATAGTCCTTGTATAAGTTTATTATTAAGTTGACTATGTTGCCAGTTGGCCTAAACTCAACAATACTCAATTGAAACTGATAATCATAAACAAATAAAAAATAAAGTATTTCATATTTCAGTATCTAGCATGAAATGTATTAGATAACAAACATTATTTTATCTAGAAAGAACGGAGGGATACAACTTGTTCATTGTATTTTACTTGTTTTTTTTTTACTTTTATTTTATTTACATACTGAAGCGTAACACTTGGTTTGTTCCATTAATTAAATTTGCCCATATCATTGAGCACTGCATGATATTACTGGACAATAAATCTTGCTTTCTCACATTTTCCTCTGAAAAAAATATATTCCACAGCAATACACAACATTTATAATTTTCGCAATCATTAAGAATAAAGTTTACTTCGTGAAAGTGCAGATGTGTGTCAATCAAACGAGTCCCGAAAAGCATAGTTTCAGTAATTTCCATATTAAATAAGTTTTTATTATATTTCCGTATGTAATGCTAGAGACGTAACTTTTTTAATATTCATACTTATAAAATAAAGGATTTCTACACTTAATTAAGGGCATACGCATTTTGCGTCAAAATTAACTTTCAAAAAAGACATTTATGTAATCTTTTAAATTCTGGAATGATCAACGTTTAATCTACAACTTTAAGTAACTACAGTAAATACCTGTTAAACAGTGTAAAGGTCTCATTCACGAAGTACGAATCTGTTTAATGGTCAGCACAATTTCTTTAATCTTCGTGCGGTAATGAAAACACATACTTTTAAAAATATATATATTATGCATGGTTAGTGTATCAGGGTTCTCCATGAGCTGTTTTACTGTGTTGCTCCCGACACAGTAAAATTTTCTCCGACACAGTAAAAGTCAAATTTTAAGTGTGCGACACAGTAAAAATTTTGCCGACACAGTAAGATCTGTGATAATCAGAAAATCAAAACACATAAGTTCTATCTAATTGAAACTTTAATCAAACAATTCTACTGTCTTCAATTATTACAGGTAGAGCACTTAATTAGGGCTTCACCTTGCATAATCAATTATCTCCTAGACCCTAGCCGGACTTTATGCATGAAGGAACAAAGAAAATAATTTGTTTTCACACTTCTATGTAACGGTTAATTGGTAGTTGCATTAAAAATACATTGTACTATTTTTAAACAATATGTCTTTTCTATAGATCCGAGGCTCTAGAATTTGGTTGGCATAACTTTAACCATCGTACCAAAATCATTTAATTGATGTAAATAAATTGTTTTAATTTTTCAAGGAGTTCATAAAAGTATTTATCTATTCTGAAGTTGTTTTTTTTTTTGTAATTCGATAATAATTTTATTCGATCAAGAAAACTGACAAAAATCACGGCAAATTTACTTTCAAAATGGTAAATAGTTCGACTATATCGACCAAAATTTCCTCTGTTTTTCAGAACATGTGTTTTTACTTTTATCAATATGTACGACCAATAACGATTTGTGTAACGAATTAGTAATTTTTAAAAGAAGTGTGTGATGTATTTTTTGTAATTATAATGAATAGTGATTCAGTTGCGAATTTGATTGCGAAAAAGCCGCGAAATTTTAGTGCTTCGCGTAAACTCTGCAACACAGTAAAATTTCAAATGATGGAGAACCCTGGTGTATTTTTAATATTATTCTCCTTTTAACATGAATTGTAAATTACTATAAGTAATGTGTTAACAGGAGTTAAATAGACAAACATATGAACATTTTAAAGAGAAAAAAATGCCTTTTCTTTAAATTGATCTCTCTCTCTGCCTCTCTCTCCTTCTGTTGTAACCAGGGGGTGTGACACGTTCAATATATTATAATTCACCACGAGACATCTGTCCGCAGGTAACTTTGTGATTACTAAACTCTGTCACGTGACGTATTATAGACTACAGAAGCCGCAGATCTTTTTGTTGTAATTACAATGTACACATGTTGAATTGAGGTGTTGTATTTTTTTTATTGCTGACTAGGAAAAAGGTGCTCGGACACTAATCGCTAGATATCGATTAAAATTCGATTGAACCTTCATGGCCAGGCGCATATTGTAAATTACCTTTGCAATCCTTGTAATTAAGATACATGTTTTTGTGTCACAAAGAATAAATAAGATGATAAAAATGGTTATTTATCAAGTATAATAATCACGGTGTTTAGCGCAGTCATCCTTTACGAAAAAGGCATATTCCGCCCTGAAACGTGAATGCCATATATGGGTATCTTGTTAAACGTTGTTGCACGGCACCAAATGTTACCTCGCACTTTTGATATGTATAGTTTTAAAATTTTCTTTATGTTCTGATATTTTAATGCATGTAAAAAATATCAAGAGGGCGAACAGTGATCTTGTCCTACAAGGTCAAAGAAAATTGACCAACATTGCCATCATTTCTAAAGTTCACTCGCATAATACATTGTGTTATCAGTGTATATTTTCGAATAGAGATTCATAGCATTGTAAATTATTTATATGAAAGATATTATATTATCACTATCGATATTATACAGATTATATTGAGTGACTGATAAAATTGATGTTACGGTTCAAACACACTTTTCGAATCCAATGAGGGAAGAAACTATAAAATTCAAAATTTAATATGTATTCGCCAATTCCGATTGATGGTGTATGCCGATATTGGATAAAATATGTTAAGGGATTCCTGATAAGATTGTACAGAACGAGAGGAAAAGGGATAGAAGACCCCCTCTTTCTTGGAAAGGGGTATACATAATATAGGCATTCGAAATTGAGAACATATTTTTTTAGGGTAAAGCTCCCCTTCACCCCCCCCCCCCCCTCAATTTTTCATTTGCCTCCGACGCCTATGAAAGTGAACACTATATTACGGCCAACGAACAACATGACGACGGCAAATAAAATATGAAGGCAACAGGTTACATGTATCAGTATGACTCATATTTTAATACATTTTTCAGCTAACTTTTTCTTATAACTTGTAATCAAAGGACAAATATACTCAATTTTTATAATCTATCACAGTTATGGACCCCCTACACACCGTGACAATGTCTTCCATATCTGTATCAGTAACTCTGTCACAATACTCGAGGCAGAGAGATTGAAGGTTTGTAGCAAAGGTGGTGGAACGGTGCGGGAAGTGAATTTCTTCATATTCCTGGAATAAAGAGTAACAGAAAGTTAAAGTTCTTGTTCACAATCTAGATTCACTCAAAGAAGTACCATTCTATGATATCTCTATGAATATATAGCAAAATGTGCCCTATGAAAATTTTCTAACAAACAGATTGAAATTCATTTTGAAACTTGTCTTTTAAAAAATCAACAGTTTCTCGTCATTCCTGAATAGGTTTATATCAATTCATCTTTTATTTTAAACTGATAATCATACACTAGACAAAGTCACTAACAAACAACTTTCCAATGAAAAAAAGTTTTGAATCAGCAAAATCAGTAATTACTGTTTTCAAATCGTGGTCTTGCCTACTGCAGTCAAATTGTAGCATAGCGCCCTCAAAATCTTCCGTTGAAAGTAATAGTAATAATTATCAGAGCCAATTGAGTTCATTTTATGCTCTGATATACATATTACATGTAGATAGACATAGAGATTATAGCAGCAATGATGACCTTGACTTACACGGTTCAAATCATATTCAATGATGCTATGTTAGCTATTCTGTACAGTGTGTGCCCCTCTTCAATCACCACAAAACCTTTCAATGTTAATGTAGTTTTTATTTTTAATGAAAAGTCAAGATTTTTTTCTATCTCATTTAATTTATAAATACATTTGAGTATAAATATTAAACCTACATCATCACTAGATTCCCCTTCATCGTCAATCTGCAACACTTCCTCAGCTGCTCTCTCTTTGGCTTTAAAGAAAAATAAAGCCTTACACCGACCCTATTTATTGTAATCTGAAATGTCAAAGAAAATCTTAATTAAATTACTTATTCATACAGCAAATTAATAAAGCTACAAAAGATGAAGATGATACATAAATCAATCCCAAGGCAATTTAAATGCAAGCAGACTTGCTAAATACAGAAACATACCAGAAAGACATAGTAGTATTTTTGGGAGGTGGGAGGGGGAGGGGAACAGCCTCTGACAATGACTTCGAAACATATGGAGATACAAAACAATATTCAAGCTCAAAAAGTCCATTAAAAGATACAAAAGTGCAGAAGGGCAAACAAGGACTCCAAAAAAACATCATAGGAGGGAACAAGTGCCAATGACATCTCCTGTCCATCGGCATAATTAAGCATGTGCTCCTTGTCAGGATTGAAAAAAAAATAGGAAAATCCGTCGTCAAATTGTTTGCTACATGTAGCAGCAAAATGTCCATGAACAAACTCTGCATGTTAGTTTGCACACAGAAAATTTTGTTAGTGAAATGGTTTACAACTGACCCGATATAATGGGAAGAAAGGGTTTAGATGTCATCAAAGCCTGGCCATTCAAAATCATTTCGTTAATCCTTGGACAGTGGTTTTGAATCGCTTTTGTGACTTCATCTTGTAGGTCTGAAACATTAAAAAATGCATTACTAAAATGATTAAAATCCATCATAAAAATTCTGCAATAAGCATTTTAAACTTAACTAAAGAGTTTTTCCAAATCTTGGGACACAGAATCTGTTGATTTATTAATGTTTGTAGATTTGGTTGGTCACCCTTATCCACAAATTTAAACCCCTATGAACAGTAATTTTGTCATCAAACTTACTCATTGGTTTTTCTGTAAATACAAGTTAACCACGACATAACATGTAATGTCCTCATGAACCATTGAAATTTTGATTGCCCATGAATATTAACCACGAGGAATTTAAATGATTTAAATGCTCTGCTCACTCATACATGTATAAAATGTTGCTTAACAAGGCTGAGTCTAATCATTTCTGCCCTAGGGATTTTGATAGTTTTTTGATATTTTATTCTTTATGTTATATTTATTATTTTAAGATTTAAAAAATCGAAAGTTTACAATCCGGATATCTTTGGGGGCCATCTCAAAAGTTGTCAAATTTTACTATTGGCCCCTATGAAATTTGTTGGAAAAGCGCCAATGAAATTATCACACTTTTCCCATATTTTTTGTATTTCTGCCCTAGAGATTTCTTTTTCATCCAAGTATATGAAAGTTATTATAAAAAGACACTAAATTGTGAAATTTCAAAAAAGTTCACCATCTAGGTTGGTCTAGGAGTTAATTACTAAGTTTATTTTTTCAAAGTCCAATAACTCTAAAATTGGTTTTAGAAATTGAAATGTTAAGATTGCTAGTATGTTTCTTTGGGTGTTCTGTCATCAGTTTTTAGCATAATTTCAATGGGTGCCTTGACCATATGAGCGAGCCATGCGTCATTTTTCAGCGTCATGCATTGCTTACAAAATCCGAAAATGGTGACGTTGTTAAATCCATTTCGACGTTATTTCCAAATTATTGTCGTAAAATCACATTTTCAGACCAGTTGGTGTTACAGATAATGTTAATTTTGTATTAAAATAAAAAAGCAAAGGTGTACTGTCGCACAGATGACTGGATGAAATTAAAAAGCTCTGCTCACTCGTACTCGAAAATGTTCGTTAAATCTATAGTTGTTTTTTCCAAAAGAAATGTATCTTATAACTATAATACAAACAAACATAACATAGCTCTCAGGTCAAAATAGGATAAAAAGGACACTTCCACTTCACAAGTTTATAAAGGAATAATAGACATTTATATCTCTCTTATCAGAGTATTGATTACCCTTAATCTGAAATTTTTAGTTTCTAAATAACCTTCATATTTTAAGCACTTACAGGATCCCCCTGCCCAGCTTAGGTCGATGAATTCTAGATGACGTAGATTCTTTGCTAAACATACAAGGCCGCTCCCAGTTATATCCTCAATGCTAGCAATATTGAGACTGCGCAACTGCCGGAAGTTGTCACTCAAAAGACCTAAGGACAGATTCGTTAAGGCACCTTGTCGAGCACTGAAAGATTCCATACAACTTTGCTTCCGGAGGAGAGAGTTAATACCACGCTCGGTCAGCTCTGAACAGTAGGAAATGTTTAAATTCTTCAACTGAAAAAAAGTTTTATTTTCTTATTGAGAAGAGAATGTGAGATTATCAATTGATGAAGAACACATTCAACTGATAAAGATAAACACCTTTAAGTTAAATATATAGGGACTCCTATCAACTATTTTTTTTCTATTTTGTTTTAAATCAAGGTAGGTTTATCCTTATAGTAAGAGTCAAAATGATTTTGCATAAAATTTAAATTTAATTTTGTCATTTAAAGTTTGTGCTTCTCATTGTAGAATGTAAAAGTATATGGAAATGTATACGAGTTTTATTAAAACAATATTTTTATCAATGATATTCTAGTCCTAAATTTCCAACATCAAGTATTTAAATCCTACATTTTCAGACAATTTAGATGCCATTCTAATTACTGTGACGTCATGTATATCAGACTCGGCCAGTGACAGTGTTTCGATCTCAGTGTTGGATAGAAGAGGTACCACGCCCCAATCAGTCATTCTCCTTAAGTCTGAAAACAAAACCAATAGATTATTCACATCTTAGCTTGCAGGTGTTTGTCAAAAGGCAGTTTAATAATCTCAGTGGGCAGCGTACTGGCTCTGTGAGCAGAAAGTCCTGAGTTTGAATCTCGGCCGCGATTCACCAAAGTCGATTAAAATTTAAAAAATGGTCACTTAAGGTCCTGTGGAACTGTAATAGCAAAGTTAAGTTGGCATTTTTAAAGCTATATTCAGAAGAAGTACTAGTCACGGTAGCCTAGTGGTATAGCGTTCGCCCGGGGTTCGATTCTCATTGGCGGCGCCGCGTCAAACCTAAGACATAAACATAGTTAGTAACTGTTCCTTCATCAAGCACTCGGCATTAAATGTGAAAGTCACGGGTCTTTCGGATATAACCTTAAAAATGTAGGTCCTGTGGAACAATGAAGAACCCTCACTGCTCAATGGCCCTGAGTTCCGAGTATAGGTCTAAATTTGAAGCCTTTCACCGGCATTCCGTGACGTCTCTATATGAGTGAAAAATTATTGAATGGGACGTTAAACAATATACAGTCAATCAATCAATCAGAATAAATATATTTCTAGAAGATACATTGTTCATTTTTTTTCTCATAAATCATTGTAATATACATAACACTTAAGTTTTATTTGATATTTTAAAGGTATTTGATTGTTTGCCAATATTTTGTTATACAGAGAAGTTGACCTTAGAAATACCACTTTCACAGGTATTAAACATGTCAAACACCAATAAACTTCAAAACAAAGAAAAGCTGGAGACCAACACCTTGAGGTTAAAATTGCCGAAGATTCTCACGTGTGGATACCGAAAGGTATTCAATAGGGTCTGTAACTAAAGTTATAAACTTAAAAGATCACCAACACTTCGTGAGAATGCAGCAGTAAATTTATTTTGTTGACTTTCACCTGTGACGGTCGTCATCAGTGCAATCAAGCATGTAACTTTATTTACTGAAGTAAAAAATGCGGATGACGTTGCTATATACACAAAAAATGCGGATGGCGTTGCTATATACAAAATAAAATGCGGAGTGTTTTGCACTTGCTTAATAATGGTACTTTATACTAGATATACAGCTGTAATCAATTTACGTTTCCTCTAAAGTTTTTCTAACTTAAGATTTAGTCAGTAAATAACATTATTGTTTTATGGTTAATAAAATCGTCCATAAATTCTGTGGATTATTATTCTTCTGTTGCATCATCAAGCTGTTTCGGTGAAATGTGACGTCACAATGGAAAAAAATACGGATGGTTTGTACATGTATATAGAGTGCGTAAAATTATACAAATGGACATTAGATTACATTTCCTATAAATGTTTGGATAACATAAAATGTAATTTGGTTTTATAAATTGCTACTTCTGAATAGTTCAAACAATAAACTTCAAACAATTTTTACCTGTGGCCTTTTTTTAACTCAAATATAAAAAAAAATCTACCTTCCAGCTGAATTCTTCTCAAGCATGTGCACTTTGATCCAATGTACCGGATGTGCTCAGGATCAATCAAGTTACAGCCAATCAGAGTTAAGTCTTTCATCTCTACACATGTATCTACCATTAGTTTCAGGAGACGGTTTGGAAACTTTACCCAAGACAACTTCAATGATTGAAGACCCGGATTAGTTGTGATAAACGTACTAAAAGCCTCTTCCAAAGCCTGCTGTTTGTTGTTAGGATAATGCAATTCCTCTAAGTCTATCGACTTGATATTTGGTTTATAAAGCTGCTTCTTGGGAGGTAGGGACTGGTTATCAACATTTGGCTGCCTGTGTTTTGGCGGTTTATTAGAATCCTCCATTGTGAGATTTCCCAAAGAACATGAAGAAATAGGATTGTGAGTGGGGCTGTTACAATCGACTATGGATCCCTGGTGTGCTTGCAGATCAACCAATGCATTAGAACTTGCAGGAAGTTTCTCATTGCTACCTTCCAAAGGCTTTTCAGCATTGTCAGCACCAATTTCATTTGGTTTGGCACACTCATTTGAGCTGTGGAGTGGACTTATACCATCGACTTCTGCAAAATCTTTTTGAATGTGCTTCTCCTCTGAATGCTGTAAAGAGTGTTTGACTTCAATATCATCTAATAAGTTTTCAGCACCTGGGGTTTGGAAATTATCCATGGAAGACTGTTCACTGATATGACACTGTACACTTTCTGTCGGGATTTCTGACTGAGAGCTGCATGTTGATTGTTTATGTTCACCTGGATGAGAAACTTTTGAAGTAATTTTAAGATCACTGCCTGATTTTATTAACAGATTTTCTGATTTTTCATAGTCACTGCCATTTTGACATCTACCCTCCATGTTAACAGTTCTCTCTTCCTTTAGAGAGCAAGGCAAATCTGATTCTGGGACAGCATTTGGCACATTAGATAAAGGTTTGTTTACAGTAGAAAGCGAATCACTGTTCAATTTTGTAGTTTGGCAACTCTCACAAGATTCAGAAATATCACTATTGGACTTGAAATCTGTCTCCCTCTTTTGCATTGTTTTGCCTCCATCCATTAAGCAATTAATTCCAGCTTTTGATTCAGATTTCTGACTAGTTTCTGAGGTTTGGGCAGAAAAATCTTCTTTAATTTCACTAATATTCTCAACAGAGTTCTCATCACTTTCTTTTTGACTTAATAATGGGGAAGTCTGTACAGTGATTCCACCAACTGCACCTGAACCAACATTTTTAACTAAATTTCCATTGCATTTGTCTTCTGAAAATTTCTTCACTGCTCTTTTCTTTTGCAACAATTTTATCAAACTCATTGCTGGTCTCATCATATGGATGCCCATTCAAGTCTACCATTATTTCATCTAAGATGCACAATTTTCTACAGTCATCACAAGTGATGCTGCTTTGCCTTTGGGAAGAGATAACTTTTTCAGAGTCAATATTTGACATATTGTCATTTTGGACAGAAGAACTAGCATTGGGAATAACTGATTCTGAAGTTTTTAAATCACAGTTATTACATTCTGTCACCTCAATATTCTGTTGAGGAAGTACCTGCCATGAAGAAGCACCTTCAACTGTGGGAACATCTGTGTCACAATGTTTATGGACATTGTTATTGTCAGAGGAACTAGATTCTTTGGTTTCTGTTACATCTTCACCCTTTATGTTGTTATCGAAGATTTCTTCATCCTCTTCACTGTCATCTTTGGTCTCACACCCAAGGAGACTTTTAGAGACAAGAAGCCCAGAAAGACACCACAGAGATTCTAAAGTTAACTGAAATGTGAAATTATTATAGTAAAAGTGAATGCTCTTTCATATTTAATTACAATTGTTATTAAGCCAGTTTGACATACCGGTAAGTATTATAGGCAAGTTCTCTTCTGGAAACCCTGGGCTTTAGATAGCTAAATGCACATTGCCCTTAATCCCATTCAAAAGAGGTAATGATTTACAGTACATTAATATGCTTAGCACAGCTAGAGATAAAAAAGTTTTTTTTTTATAAATCAGTTTACTTGTGATATTAAAATTGAAAACAAAAAAATATACTCACATTTGTCCATGACATGCAGACGTGTTCAAGGGTGGGACCTGTCAAGGTCATAAGGTTACGCATGGCTAGATTGGTCAGTCCATGACACCCTGATATATCTATACTGGTCAGTGAGCATAAATAGCTGTTTGTATAGCTCTCCTAGAAAATAATAAATTATATGATTGGATATTAAAAACCTTTTTTTAGACAGGTATAGAAAAGTTTTTTTTTTCTTTGTGTATGCGTGGAGGGGTGGGGGGGTGTCAGGAAGGTTAATTTATGTATTATACTTTTCTTCAGAACTATATTTCATACTTATTGTATATATTATATATTGTAATACTTATCAGTTGATCCATAACATTAAAATTATGAAATCCAATATGTTTCCTTCGTAAATCTTTACATGTACATACTTATATAACCGTAATTTTGATTCAATGAAACTCAAATTCAAACTGGCAAGATGATTAATTGGACCCTTCATATTTTCTATGTGTACTGCAATTAAGGATGGGAGGACAAGGGTGGGTGGGGTCATTTAAAGTATTCTCTCACCTTGAGTAGACTTCCTTTTTTACACTGGTCCTTAGATAACAGGAAAGCCTTATCTGTGATGTTTTTACAGGAAGACACATTCAGGTGCTTCAGGTGGTGCAGGTTCTGTAAAATGCTCTGGATAGAAAAAAATATATCAAATGAATTTGAATTTGAATTATTTGATTTGAACATCCATTAAAACTTATTTTGTTCTTAAATTTGATTATTTCTTGAAAAATAAATATTTATCTTACATGAAATCCATAACTATAATACATGTACACAACCATAAAGTGTAACAAATTATGAATATACAGATTGACATTGCTTTACCAATGGATTCCTGAATCCATTATGATTTTCTGTAATTCTTTTTTTCTCAAGTATGTGTGTAATAAACAGTCAATTGTTATATTTTCTTCTGTTTTGCAAAATAATGTCCAAAAGATATCAATTCTTCATGTGCTATCATTTTAAAAGCTTTATTTTACCTTTAAAAATTTGTTCCTATACAAATCTTTACGAAAAAAGTCTAACATTTCTAATGTTTTAGTGAGTGCAGATATGGGCATAAAAATAAAAAAAAAAAATGATCTTTGACCATTAAGAGAGATGTTATGATGTTACGGCCTGAGGCAGACAATTTGGTTCTTGGGTCAGACAAAACTCATGACGCCCTCAAACACAGACAATAAATCTATAATATTATGCAGGTATGTGCAGTAATTATATGCAAAATTCTCTTCGAACCTCATTCATTATTATATTTATCAATAAACACTTCCTCATAAATATATTTTTCTAAATGCTGTAAATATTACACGGTGTCACAATAAAATTATGCAAACCAGAAATAAACTAGAGGTTTGTGAGCAATGAGCTTACTAAATGATACTCCCGCTTCCCATATGGTTATAATGGCACAGTCCATGTTTTTCTGTGGCCGGGAAACCCAAATTATATGTCGGATCAAAAATAAAATAAGGGTGCACAATGACAAAATGTAATAAAGATTCTGTGAATTTCAAAGTTTCAATAAATTTAATTCAGTATTATAAGAGGAGTTTTGGATAAGAGATGGGTACCCCAAAGCGTAAGAGACGGACGGATGTACAGCAAGACGGACATACATGTACCTATTACTATATACCCTCCTGCTTTTCAAGCTGGGAAAATAATGAATAATTCTTACATGAACAATGACATCGTCCACTGTTGTACAGTCCTCTACAGATATTGAGGTCAGGTTGACCCCCATCCTTTCAATCAGCACAAAGAAGTCCCCCAGCATCAGCTGACTACACTGCTTAAGGTCAAGGCCACACAGATGCTTACAGCTGATATATATAAAAAATGTCATATTAAACAATGCATGAATTTCTAGACAATACCTGTATTTAACATGTTTAAGTTGTTTTAAATAAACAGAATCCAAAGTTGCTCTTTTTTGTTTTAAATAAACAGAAATCAAAGTTCACAGTTCTTTTTTTTTCATTCATCATTCATTTATTAATCCTCCATTTCTTATTCCTTTCCTTACTCAATTTTTAGGCCTAGAAAAAAATATGTTTGTTTCCGCTTTCAGACTGAAAAAATACAGGGTAGTTAGGTAGGCATTTTTTTTTTTTTTTGAAATTTTTGTTTGCTTCTTTAATAAAAAAATCAAAACAAGTATAGACGTAACATTAATGACAAAAGAAATGGTGTTTTTAAGTATTTCTGTGTCTTAAACTGATAATAGAAAGGCAAAAAAAATTAACTAATAGTTTCTCAGGCACCGCCGCATCAGTTCAAAAACGGCTGCATTGATCAATTTTATTGACATATTGAAAAGAGAGATAACTCAACTTTCTAATTTTCCAAGTTGAAAAACAAAATAAAGTTATCCCCCTTTTCATAAATGCTTAGATAAACGTTTTTATTAGAAAAACAATATATTTCTTCTATATTTTCAGTATTATATTAATTACAAGAGGCCCATGGCTCACCTGAGTAACTTGGGTGATGCAGATCTTTTTTTAAAGATTTGTTCTATATATTTCTATGTAAAACTTGGATTCCCTATTGTGGCCCCGCCCTACCCCCAGGGGTCATGATTTTAAAAATTTTATATCTATACTACCCAAGGATGCTTCCATATAAGTTTGAGCTTTCCTGGCCCAGTGGTTCTTGAGAAGATTTTTAAAGATTTGTTCTATATATTTCTATGTAAAAATTGGATTCCCTATTGTGGCCCCGCCCTACCCCCGGGGGTCATGATTTTAAAAATTTAATATCTACACTACCCCAGAATGCTTTCATATAAGTTTCAGCTTTTCTGGCCCAGTGGTTCTTGAGAACAAGATTTTTTAATGACCCCAATATACCACATATAGTTCTTTGATGAAGAAAACAACACTGTTGCTATGGTTACCAAGAAGGGAAAATGTTCGATTTTGTGAACTTTATATCAATATTAACCCTGTGTGCCAACTTCTTGTATCCACTCAGAGATTGGTTGATAGTCAAAATTAAGAGTCAGGTTAGCTGTTAATAAATATCAATCCTAAAAGTTTTGGGAATCTACATTTAAGGGTACGTATCCAAGGGAAGAAAATATTTTTCAGGTTTTTAAGCATATATTTTCTTCTTATTTCCATAGCAACGCTCTATTTAAAGAATCTAATCTGAATTTTTTCAAATGGGAAAACTAGGAGCACACCAACATCTTTAAAAATTGATCATTAGTTATGAGGAAATGTGCTTTAATTTTTAAAAGATAGGATACGATTTAAACATACAGAGTGTTACTTTGAAGGCTCTCTGTGGTATAAAAACCTTAAAAACCATTGCCAACCAAAATGAAATATATTTTGTTCTTGGTATATGTTTCAAGGATCTTTTTTCTATTATTTGGTCACATTTTATCTTATAATTGCTTTTTATTTTTTACATGTATGACTTTATAAAATTCAATGAATATTTTTCTTTACTTTTGAATAATTTGTTACCATAGTAACGTATGTAATAGTTGATTTACCAAACATGTTTATCATGCATTTGAGACATCTGCCTTCAACTTTTGGAAACAGTCATTGCCAATTGTTTGCTTTGCCGCAAATGTTAATTATGGGGCTCTAAACATGTTAAACAAGATGTGTTTGTGAAACACTATGCGCCCGGCGGCAACAAAGTTCAAAAAATCTATTTTTAGCATATTGGTCACAGTCAAGGTCACAAGGTCATTGACCATGGTGTCATATGAAAAAACTTAATCGGTGGAGTATGCATCCAAAATATGAAGTCCCTGTCTCCTATGGTTCAAAAGTTATGGCAAAAAGTGAAAAAACTATTTTTAGCATATAGGTCACAGTCAAGGTCACAAAGTCATTGACCTTGCTGTCGTTTGAAAGGACTTTATTATTGGAGTATGCATACCAAATATGAAGTCCCTATCTCCTATGGTTAAAAAGTTATGACAAACAGTGGAAAAAGCTATTTTAGCATATAGGTCACAGTCAAGGTCACAAGATCATTGACCTTGTTGTCGTTTGAAAGGACTTTATTAGTGGAGTATGCATACCAAATATGAAGTCCCTATCTCCTATGGTTAAAAAGTTATGACAAACAGTGGAAACAGCTATTTTTAGCATATAGGCTTATATATATCTCCTATGGTTAACAAGAGGCCCATGGGCCACATCGCTCACCTGAGCACTGTGGCTAGGAAAAAGTAGTTATTGGTTTATTATTGAAAAGTTTAAATCCAAAAATAGTCCCATGACCAATCATGGCTTTGCTATTATTGAGAAAAAGATTTTTAAAGAATCTTCTTATATATTTCTATGTAAAACTGTGGTCTGCCATTGTGGCCCCGCCCTACCCCTGGGGGTCATGGTTTGAACAAACTTGAATCTACACTACCTGAGGATGCTTCCATATAAATATGATCAATTATGGTTTTGCTATTCTTGAGAAGAAGATTTTTTGAGAATTTTCCTATAATTTTCTATGTAAAACTTTGGTCGGCCATTTTCGCCCCGTCCTTCCCCCGGGGGTCATGATTTGAACAAACTAGAATCTACACTACCTGAGGATGTTTCCACATAAGTTTCATCTTTCCTGGCACATTGGTTCTTGAGAAGAAGATTTTTAAAACATACCACAAAATTTTCAATAATTCCTAATTATCTCCCCTTGAATAAGGGTGTGGCCCTTCATTTGAACAAACTTGAATCCCCTTCACCCAAGGATGCTTTGTGGCAAGTTTGGTTGAAAATGGCCCAGCGGTTCTTGAGAAGAAGTCGAAAATGTGAAAAGTTTACAGACGGACAGACAGCTAGACAGACAGACGGACAGACGAACGACGGACAAAATGTGATCAGAAAAGCTCACTTGAGCTTTCAGCTCAGGTGAGCTAAAAAGTTATGACAAACAGTGAAAAAAGCTATTTTTAGCATATAGGTCACAGTCAAGGTCACAAGGTCATTGACCTTGATGTCATTTGAAAGGACTATATTAGTAGAGTATGCATACCAAATATGAAGTCTCTATCTCTTATTGTTCAAAAGTTATGGCGAAGGTTAAAGTTGACAACAGACAGAAAGACAAACAGACAAACAGATAAACAGACAAACAGACAGGACAAAAACAATATACGCCCAGGATCTATTGATCCGGGCGCATAAAAATGCCATTTTTCGAACTTTAAAACATGATGCCATGGTAACTATAAAGCATAGCAACCAATATTTGCCTGATTTGAGTTTAGGGTATCAATGACTTTTAATATTATAGAGAGTTTGGAGAAATTCTGAGATTATGCATGCCACAGCTCCTATATAAAATTTCAAATCATTACAGAGAATGGCTCTTAACTTTTAAATAAATGTTTGGAGTAACATTTATATTTAAAGCTGAATACATACTGCAACCAATTTCAGAGAACAAAAATTACGAATTGGTAGTTATTGTCATTTTATTGAACAAATGGCTTAAAAAAGGTGTTAAACCTGCTTCAAAAAAAAAAGCCTGCCTGCCGCATTGAATTCTGATTTTTTTGGCCTTAGAAACAATTGATTAATTTTTTTGGGCCAAAGGTGACCCAAAATTCTTTCTGTCTTGAAAAGCTTGCAAAGTTGGAGACTATAATTCCCTGGGTGAAATCTTGCACATCATGGGACAAAAGCATTAAAAATATATTTAGGGTCGGCACTTTAAATTAGGGTTGGTCGGGAAAGCGGAAACAAACATATTTTTTATCCAGGCCTTATTCATTAATTTTTAGTAATTTATTCAATCATTTTAACTTTTTTGGTTGGAAGAAATGCAGAACAAATTATATACCCTTTTGCATTGTCATTATCGTTCAGACATTTTTAATATTAATATATATTGACAGTAACATCAGTACAAGGAAACTACTTACTGTGGAAAAATCTTGATGAAATTTGATGGTTTGATCTGTGTACAGTTTGCTAACTTGAGATGGTGTACATGTGGTGATGCCAGACCAGCTAGCATCTCATTGGTCAGCTTCCTGGGATAAAACTTAACCATGTGACTAAGTATGTCTTCTGTGACTGCACTAAAATTGAAGAACAATTGAACTGCCTTTTAAAATATTTCTTTAAATTATTTTCATGATCACTCCCTAAGTTCAGTTTCAAGTTCTTCCTGCAATAAAAGATGCATTATTATTCTAAATATCTATTTTGTACTTTTTATTCAATTAAATAGACGCTAGGTAATCATAAGCTACATAACTGTAGTCCTCTGTTGAAAAAAAAAGTATATACATTACCAATCCAGTAAGATATAGATCAAAACATGATAAATAAAACCTGGAGGTTTTTAGAATGCATAGATCTGTAGCTCTCCGGTATTCCTGTCCAGAGACTGAGAGAGTTTTATTACAGCTTTTATGTTACATTGTATCACCTTAAAATAATGATTGTTTGTCCCTCATGATCATGTGATAATGCATCATAAAAAAATGCTTTAAGTTATCAGCCATGGCGGAATGCGAAAACTTCCAAATGGCTAAAAATAATTATGTCCTTTATGATAGAACAAGTCATGAGTCAGGCCATTTTTAGGGAACTGTCAACTACACTTTAAAAAAAAAAATATTCTTCAACTGTGAGTTGGTCACCCATTTGGCGCACTTGTCAGAGCATCTGCTCGAGAGTTGCAAAGTAAGAGTACATCTTTATGTCACAGGTTCGAATCCCACCGTGGGATGTGGAGACCGGTCCTTTGGATGAGACCGTACAAACCGAGGTCCAGTGTCGCAGTAGGTGCTGGCACGAAAAAGATCCCTCCCTGCTCAAAGGCCCTGAGTGTCCAGTATAGGACAAAATTTGCAGCCCTTCACCGGCAAATGGTGGGCTCCATATGCGGGAAAATATTCTCGATGGACATTAAAGAACATACAAACAAACAAAATCAGCCATTACACATATCACTGACAATATTCAATTTTTAACTAAATTTACCTGTGGCACACTGTCTTCAGGAAATTAGTGACATCCTTTCCTTCTGTCAGATCGAGCAGACTCTGAACACAGACAAGTCTAGCAATGAGCTGTAGAGACAGCGGCTCCGTCATGGTCCTCCTATATCAATTGTTGGATAGTTGAGCTGATCAAGAATCTGACAATAACAACTTCACTTCTGGTTCAAACAAATACATATTTAGGAATCGTGGTGAGGTTTTTTTGTTTTGTAGTTAGTTGTTCACAAATGTTACAAATCATCGCTGAGTCTTCAACAATCCCCAATTAGAACCTTTACCATCACAATGAAGTTTTCACATAATGAAAGATAACTCTTACTTCATACCTTCTATAGTCTTTTTCTCAAAATGTAGTAAATAATCTTCAGCTCTTATCTCTCTCTGTTAACTGAAAGTCACAGTCATTCTTCCAGTCTTTATCATCCCAGTACACAACCTAA